GTCTCCTATCAGGCTATTTGTAGGCATATATTATGGGTCTCAGATACTGTATATTAAAATATATTAAAAAAACATGTCTTTGATGTGTTTTGCTCAAAATACCAAACATGCATTTTAGAAATCCCTCATATCCCTTTATTTCAGCCGTGTTAGAGAAACGCTGATTCTGGGTCCTTAGCTTGAAGAAAATGCAGATTTTTGAGCTAATGCCTGCTCAGAATTCTACCGAGATACAGCTAAATGCTGCCGTGATGACACGCCATCATGTTCCAAACCACATCAAGGATTATCTCTGAAACAGTATGGAGCTCAAATGCTTTTTCTCTCTCAGGTTTACCACAAGGTGAGTTCCTTTTTTTATTTCCTGCTTCTTCACACAGACTCTCTCCAGTACAGGTTAGCTCTGAGTGTTAGCCATGCTAATGTAAACACCGACCATATTACGTCCAAAACAGTCGGGCATTGTTTCTGATAGCAACTTTTCTGATAGGGCCGTGGGTCCACATTTCAGATATTACGTCATATCGGACGCAAATCTGGATCAGCTCCGTTGTTCCCCCGTTTTTAGAGATTTGGTACGGAGGAAAAGAGAGAGTTTTGTTTTCTGACACTTTATGAGACTCCTGACACACCGGGGACACATCTTGATGTATTAAGAACATCAAGAAGTGCATTTTGCATGATAGGTCCCCTTTAATGTTAGTCTCAATGGTTTGTGTAAAAGTCTAGTTTTAAGCTAGTATGAGATGACTCACCTTCTCATTGGCTCTGTCTCGAACCTCCTCGAGCTCTCGGATCAGAGCGTGGACCGCCAGCGCCCCTTCAAGCTTCTTCTTGTAATTGCTTAGATCTCCGTGAAACTTGCTCCACCTGGAAGAGACGAAAGACAACTTGTAAAACTGATAAAATGACCCGTTAAAAGGTGAGATTAAAAAGTGAGTGTTACCTGTCGTTGAGCTGCTTTCTCCTCTGTCTAACAGTAACCAGTTCTCCTGCACTCTGTCTCTTCTCCAGTCTGTCTGCCAGTCTGTTGATGGCTGTGATGTGAGCGTCGTCTACTGTCACGTCCTATTGATTAAATATACCGTAAGTATCTTTGATCTTAATCTAGTCAGAAACCAAAATTATTAAGTGGAACAAATGCCTTTAATTCAAAATCCCTTCCTTTGGTAAGTATGTATTTTCTTTTCTGATCTTCTCCCATTTGTTCTGTACATTTGACTTATTCCATGTTGCTGTTAATGCAAACACCTGCATCCTTTTCATATAAAAAACATTTAGCACAGTCCACACATAGTGACAGTTTACACCGACATAACGTAAGACCCTTTTTTCTCACCCCATCTCCAGTTCCCCTGAACTCGCTGAGTTTCTTCAGCAGCTGAACTCCATGTTCGTAATCCTTTCCAACATCTCCGACATTAATCATCACCTCCTGGAAAACAGACACATTTAGAGGCAGATATTTAACACTATAACACACTCACAGTGGTGAGCCGTCACCTGAGGGCCTAACATATTATACAAAATAATATTTAAAAACATTTTTCATTAGTTTTACCAAAATAACTTGATTTAATTGTATCTAAAATAACATTTCCAAAGAAATAAATCCTTCGAATCTGCCTGTTCAGTTTCTGTTGGATTGGTTATGTCCACAGTAATGACATTTACATGTCTAATATG